ATTTTTTGAGACAGAGTCTCACTATGTCACCCTGGGTAGAGTGCTATGGCGTCACAGCTCACAGCAACCTCAAACTCTGGGCTTAAGCAATTCTCCTGCCTCAGCCTCCTAAGTAGCTGGGACTGCAGGTGCCCAGCCACAACACCTGGCTATTTTTTAGGTGTAGTTGTCATTGTTGGTTGGCAGGCCCAGGCTGGATTTGAACCCGCCAGCTCTGATATATGTGGCTGGCGCCCCAGCTGCTGAACTACAGGTGCCAAGCCAGGACGAATGCATTATTCACCCATTTTATAGATGGGGAAACCAAGGCAGAAAAAGGTAACTTGCCCAAAGATGCACAGCAGGAAGAAGTAGTGCTAGGATTTGAACTCAGATATTTGGCTCCAGAGTCCACACTTTGTAACCCCTACCACCAGATGCCTGGGAGAAACAGAGTCCTATAGTCATAGCATCACCCCCTTCCTAATGGCTGCCTCCCACTCCTCTGTACCCCATCTGAGTCCTGGCTCTCACTACAGGGGCAGCATGGAAGCTTCTGTCAGGTGTGCGGGAAGGCCAAACACAGGTAGACACCCCCCAGGTAGGGGACATGGCCTACTGGTCTCACCCCATCGATCTGCACTTTGCCACCAAAGGTCTTCAAGGTAGGTACTGGGCCTGGGCCCCCAGGGGAATGGGGCCATTAGCACCCAAAGCTGTTGGAGCTGGGAACACCAAGTCCTGTCCCTGCTCCATACCCTGTGGGTTCCTTTCCCAGCCATGCCTGCCCCTGGAGAGGCTGAGCTGAGGCCTTCCCAACCCTGCTCTGCAGGAGACTGCAAGTGTGTGGGATTGGGGCCAAGGCTAAGGCTAGAAGGGGCCATGGGAAGGTGGGGTCAGGGTGGGAGGGGAGGTGGCTTTCAAGTAAAGAGACAAACCAAGAAGGTCTCCAATAAGGAGGAAGCTAGGAGGGGTTTTATGAGAGAGAGAGAAGTGCAAGGGTTGGTTGCTATTCTTCAGGAAGAGCTGCTTGCCTTAAAAGCAGAGGTGGTGCTCTGCTCAAAGGGGAAATGAGTATTTGGGGGAGGAGGGGTATCAAAAAACATTTTCTGGTAGAAAATGTGGGTTATTGGAGAGGAACAGATTCTAGGAAATGGTCTAGATCAGCGGTTCTCAGCCCACAGGAACTGTATTGAAGGGCCACGGCATTAGGAAGGTTGAGAACCATTGGTCTAGATAAATGTGCCATATATTTCAACAACATAAATAATGTTTACTGAATGCCTGCTGTGTGCCCAGCCTGTGTTGGCTGATACCAAGGGAGGCATTGGAGATCAAGACATACCCAGCCTGTCCTCACAGAGGTTGCCATCCCACTGGGGAGATATACCCATGGCAGCCCAGAGTGGGCAGGATTGGGAAGGGAGATTGTGGGACCGCAGAAGAGATGCCTGACTTTGTCTCAGAAGTCAGAGAGGGCTTCCTGAAAGAGGAGGCATTTGAGCTTTGCTATGAAGGAGCTAATAAATCAGAGAATGGAAGAGGGTTCTAGGTAAAGAATACTGCATGTGGAAGGCTCAAAGGGAGAGTGAGCCAGAGGTATCTGGAAAACCCAGGGAGAGCAGGAAGATGACAGAAGAGGAGGTGGCAGGGGACATATGTAGGGCTTTGAATGCCAGGGTAGGAAGCAGAGGCCATCTCCTAAAGACACAGGGAAGCCAAAACAGGCAATGAACAAGTCAGATTTCACTTATAAAAGACCTTTCTAGGGTGGCACCTGTGCTCAGTGGGTAAGGCCACCAGCCCCATATACTGAGGGTGGCGAGTTCAAACCCAACCCCAGCCAAACTGCAACAAAAAATAGCCGAGCACTGTGGCGGGTGACCATAGCTCAGCTACTCGGGAGGCTAAGGCAAGAATTGCCTAAGCCCAGGAGTTGGAGGTTGCTGTGAGCTGTGACACCACAGGACTCTACCAAGGACCAAGGGTGACATAGTGAGACTCTGTCTCAGAAGAAAAAAAAAAAAAAAGACCTTGAGCATCTACCCAGAAGGAAAAAAAATCCTTTTATCATAAGGACACTTGCACTAGACTGTTTATTGCAGCTCAATTTACAATCGCCAAAATGTGGAAACAGCCTAAATGCCCACCTAAATGGATTAACAAGCTGTGCTATATGTATACTATGGAATACTACTATTCAGCCATTAAAAAAAAGGAGACTTTATAGACTTTGTATTAACATGGATGGAAGTGGAACACATTATTCTTTTTTTTTTTTTTTTTGAGACAGAGCCTCAAGCTGTCACCCTGGGTAGAATGCCGTGGCATCATGGCTCACGGCAACCTCCAACTCCTGGGCTCAAGCGAGTCTCCTGTCTCCGCCTCCCAAGTAGCTGGGACCATAGGCACCCGCCACAACACCTGGCTATTTTTTGGTTGCAGCCATCATTGTTGTTTGGCAGGCCCGGGCTGGATTCGAACCCGCCACCCTTAGGTGTATGTGGCTGGCGCCTTAGCCATTTGAGCCACAGGCGCCAAACTGGAACACATTATTCTTAGTAAAGCATCATAAGAATGGAGAAGGATCAATCCTGTGTACTCAATTTTGATATGAGGACAATTAATGACAAGGGAAGGGGGTAAGCAGAGAGAGGAAGGAGGGAGGAGTGGGGAAGGGATTAGCAGAGAGAGGGAAGGAGGAAGGGGGTGGAGTCTTGGTGTGTGCCACCCCTTTTGGGGGCAAGACACAAAATTGTAAGAGGAACTTTACCTAACAAATGCAATCAGTGAAACCTGGTTTCTTATACCCTCAATGAATCCCCAACAATAAATTAAAAAAAAAAAAAAGACCTTTTGGGGTGGTGCCTGTGGCTCAAAGGAGTAGGGACTGGCCTCATATGCCGGAGGTGGTGGGTTCAAACCCAGCCCTGGCCAAAAAACTGCAAAACAAACAAAAAAAAGACCTTTCTACTGGCAGGAGGCATGGTGACTTATACCTGTAATCCTAGCACACTGGGAGGCTGAGGGGGATGGAATGCTTGAGGTCAGGAGTTTGAGACCAACCTGAGCAAAGCAAGACCCTGTGTCTAAAAATTAGCAGGCATTGTAGTAGGTGCCTGTAGTGCCAGCTACTCGGGAGGCTGAAGCAAAAGGATCACTCTAACCCATGGGTTTGAGGTTGCTGTGAGCTATGATGTCCCAGCACTCTACTGAAGGCAACAGAGTGAGACTCTGTCTCAAAAAACAAACAAAAAATAACAAAACAAAACCTAGAAAAACACCTCTCTAGCTTTCTAGCTGCCATGTGGGTGACTGGAGGTGAGGTGTACAGTTCTATCCTCTCAGCTTTTAGAGTCCCCAGGTCCCCAGTGGCAGTATCATCCTTCTTTTCTTTTTTCTCAAGCCCCTATTCTGTCCATCAGGAAATCCTCTTGGCTATACCTAGGAAATACATCCTAACTCCCACTTCTCAGCACCTTTTTGCCCACTCTGGTCTGACCACATCTCTTACTTGTACTATTACAATAGCCTCATCACTGGGGTGCCCTATCCGCAACTCCCAATCTGTGCTCCACACACAGTCAACGGGACCCTGTGAACACCTAAGTCAGCTCACATCCCTCCTCTGCTCAGAACTCCCTAGTGATCCCCACCTCACTCAGGTTAAAAGCCAAAGTCTTACCAGACATCACAACACTCAGCACAATGTGGCTGTCACCTCCTTCCCTTCTCCCCACTAAACTGAACTAGCCACGCTGGCTGTGCCAGGCACACTCCCTCCTCAGGGTCTTTGTACCAGCCCTTGTGGTTGGGTATGCTCTTCTCCCTAGACGTCCACATGGCCCACTCTCTTTTCTCCTTTTAGCATTTGCTCAAATGTAACTTTCTTATTGAAGTTTCCTTCATCACCTCCTTTCTAAAACATATTCCTACTCCCACCCTACCCAGCTTTATTTTTATCCAGAGCAGTTATCACCACCTGATATACCCTATAATTTGCTTATTTACTGTGTTCGTTGTCTGGGATGTCAGCTTCACAAGGGCAAGAATTTTTGTCTGCCATCTATGTTCACTACTATGTCCCTAGCTAGACAGAACAGGCCCTGACATAGACGAGGGGACTCAGAACATGAGATGGGGCTGGATCTCCAAAGGCTTTGATGAGTAAGCTGAGGGGCTAAACTAGATTGTAGGGAAACCTATGGAAGGAGAGAAAATTGCTTCTAGCTACCAGAGGGAAGGTAGATGGGTGAGAAAGCAAGAAAGGCCTTACTCCCAGAGAGGAGGACTGGGGCCATGGTGGGAAAGACAGGAAATATACCTGACAAGGCCCAAAGCACTGACCTGGGGACTGGAGGCACAATAGGCTGCTCTGATTGGGGTTTCAGGTGGGGAGGGTACAGAGAAAGGAGAAAGAAGTCAGCAGAGGCCAGATCTGAAGGGCCTTGAATGTTGAGGAGGTTGGGCTTTGAGGGCACTGGGAAGCCATGGGGGGATTTTGAGCAAGGGAGTAACATGGATTTTAGAAGGATACTTTTGGCTGTTATGTGGGGTGGATCAAGGGGTGGGAGCCCAGAGAGGAGGCTAGGGTAGACACTCAGGGACAGAAACCTATCACGGAAAGGACTGGGCCTGAGGGCTCCAGTGAATATAAAGGAGGGGAGGGAAAGGGGTAATACAGGAGCAGAAAGTGGGCCCTGATCATCCCTCCTTTCTCTCTCCTTTCTGTCCTGCAGGCTGGCCCCGGTTCCATCTCCAGGTGTGGTCCCAGGACAGCTTTGGCCGTAGCCAGCTCGCAGGCTATGGATTTTGCCATGTGCCCAGCAGCCCTGGCATCCACCAGCTGACCTGCCCCACATGGCGGCCCCTGGGCAGTTGGCGGGAGCAGCTGGCACGGGCCTTTGTGGGTGGTGGGCCACAGCTATTGCATGGGGATACCATCTACAGTGGGGCTGACCGTTACCGCCTGCATACAGCTGCTGGTGGCACCGTGCACTTTGAGATCGGCCTTTTGGTGCGTCACTTCGACCGCTATGGTGTTGAATGCTAAGGGCCCCTGCCTCCAATGGCTGCCCCCTCCATATACACCTTTAGACATCCAGTGAGGGGCAGGCTGGCACAGTGGTCAAGAGACTGTCAGATGTAACCCAGCTAAGGCATTGCATTGCTCCTGTCCTTGTTAGAACCTTGAACCAGTAACTAGCTGTACCTCTGGGCCCAGTTTCCCTATCTGTAAAATGGAGCCAATAAATATGTGGAGTCACAGGGAATTGGGTGAGAAGAGTCTGCTTAGCACACGAGAGGTTCTCAATAAAGGACAGCAATTCTTAGAAGTGCCTGCCTTTCTGGCCCCCTTCATGTGTCAGATGTCCTGTTGGCCCATCCTCCCACTGACATCTTCCTCAATCTCCTATCTTTTTTTTTTTTTTTTTTGTTAGAGACAGTCTTACTTCTTGTCCTTGGTAGAGTGCCATGGCATCACAGCTCACAGCAACCTCCAGCTCTTGGTCTTAGGCGATTCTTTTGCCTCAGCCTCCTGAGTAGCTGGGACTACAGGTGCCCACCACAACGCCCTGCTATTTTTTTGTTGCAGTTTGGCCGGGGCCAGGTTCGATGGGGCCGGCGCCCTACTCACTGAGCCACAGGCGCCGTCCTCAATCTCCTATCTTAACACTGTTCCCCATCCTCTGCCCCAGCCACACGCTCTCTTCCTGTTCTGAGACCCCTACTCTGATCCCCTCCCTTGTATCCTCATCCCGTGGAGGCAGCATGGGGTCACCGAGAGAATGAGCCCTTCCTGACAGGTCCTCTTTCTCTCGGTGACCCTCCGCTACCCCCAAAGGCACAGTGCATTTTGATCACGCGTTTTGGTAGTACTCCACCACCAGGAGGCAGCACACTGTAGGTGGGGCGGAGTCGGGGTGCCCGCCCCCTTTCCCCCAGGGCTGAAGGGACCCCCCTCGGAGCCCGCCCACGCGAGATGAGGAAGGTGGCCTGGCTCCCCCTTGCCCTCCCTCTAGGGGCCGCCCCCGCCCCCCGCGCTTCCTGGGTGGGGCCCGGGGCGGCTTCAAAACCCCCCGCCGACCCAGTCGGTCCCCGCCGCCGCCGCCGCCGCCCTTCGCGACCCGGCCTGTCCCCCTCCCACCTCCCTCCGCAGATCTGCCAGACGTTGAGGGCCCCGGCGGGATAGGGGGGACGCCCCCTCCGGGGCACCCCCCCACCCGCTCTGAGCCGCCTGCGGGGCCGGCCTCGGCCCGGAACGAAGCAGCCACCGAAGAGCAGCCCGAGGCCCCAGAGTCTGAAACGAGCCGCCGCCGCCCCCGCTGCCGCCGCCACTGTGGGGAGGAGGGGGAGGAGGAGCGGGAGGAGGGACGAGTTGGTTGGGAGAAGAGGAAAAAAAACTTTTGAGACTTTTCCGCTGCTGCTGGGAGCCGGAGACGAGGGGACCGCTTGGTGCGGCGCTGCCCCGCGGGGAGGCGGCAAGACTTGAGGACCCAGCTCGTCCTCCCTTCGCCACTTCGGACGCTTGCTCCCTTCCTGTGCCCCAAACGGCGTTCCCCAGGCGCCCCCATTCCGGACCAACCCTCAGGAGCCGCAAACCCGGCCTCCCGCGAAGACTTCACCACAGACCTCGGGCGCACCCCCCTGCGCGCCCCTCTTCCCCCGCATCCCGTCTCCTGAGCCCCTGCGCATCCTAGGAGGACCCTTTTTCCTCCGAGAGACGGATCGCTCTCAGACCTTCCACAGCTCCCCTATTCAAGACCACCCACCTTCTGGTACCAGGTCTTGCTCATCTCGTTTTCTTCCGTGGGATACTGAGACATCCAAGTCAGAGCCTCCCTTCCGCCCTTGCTCCTCTTTCCCTGAGGGCCTCAACTTTTCCCCAGGCCCTCCTACCTTTCCCCGGGAGACCCCCAGCCCCTACAGGGGCGGGGCCTCCCAGTCGCACCGGCCCTGTTAGCGTTCTCCGCAGTGCCAGGGGGCGCCGCCTCCCCCATGCCGTCCTCCAGGCTGCGGCTGCTGCCGCTGCTGCTACCGCTACTGTGGCTACTAGTGCTGTCGCCTGGCCGGCCAGCCGCGGGACTGTCCACCTGCAAAACCATCGACATGGAGCTGGTGAAACGGAAGCGCATAGAAGCCATCCGCGGCCAAATTCTGTCCAAGCTTCGGCTCTCCAGCCCCCCAAGCCAGGGGGAGGTGCCGCCCGGCCCCCTGCCCGAGGCCGTGCTCGCCCTGTACAACAGCACCCGCGACCGGGTGGCGGGGGAGAGCGCAGAGCCGGAGCCGGAGCCTGAGACAGACTACTACGCAAAGGAGGTCACCCGCGTGCTAATGGTGGAAACCAACAACAGTGAGCTCGGAGGGGTCGGGGAGCCTGGAGGCGCGCCCCCAGGGGGCGCCGGAGTGCAGGGGTCATGGGGAGGAAATGACAGAGGAAACTGGCTGGAGGAAGAGGACCCCCGCGGGCGCCGGGAACCTGGGGAGGGGGGCCAAGTCCTCAAGAGGATAGCGCTGATCTACTCTCCAGTATCTGGTGTTGGAGAGGTGGAGATAGCGAGCGATGGACCGCTTCTAGAGGCGACAGGAACGTGCAGGGTCGTGCGGGGAATCCGTAGAGAGAAGCAATGAGGGTAGGGGGTAGGAAAAACCTTCCTCCTCCAGGGTGCATTAAGTGCGGGGGTCAGGGGTGGGGGTTGCAGAGAGGGGAGCTTGGTTTGGGAGAAGCACAGACCCTAGCATTGAGAAAGGAGAGGCAGTGGGGAAAGTTGAACCAGAGCTCGAGGGTCGTGAGGTGAAAAGATTCAAGGACAAGAAAGCTAGATGAAGCGAACCTCAGAGGAGGCGGAGAGCGGATCCTCTACATGCGGAACTGAGTCGTGGGAAGGGAAACGGTATGGGGAGTGTGATAAATGCGGGGAGGAAGGGACGCGAGGTCGTTGGGAATAGGAGGCTAGTGGGAGAAGCGTGGACCCCACTAGGGTGCGGGGGAAGCGGAGGTGTCCTGGGTGTTTCGCACGGAGACGCCAGACATACTGAGAGGGGAGCCCAGGGGGAAAATTGAACCCCCAGGACACCTAGAATCTGGGTCATGGGAGGGGGTCTACAGAGAACGGACACAAGCGTGCGAAGGGTGGGCCCGGGAAGGGGGTAGAGGAGAGATACACAGTGCCATCCACGCTGTGAGAGGCGAGGCCCCACTGACCACGGGATGGAGGGAAGTGGGCTGTGAGGAGTCTAGCCGTAGGGGAGCGCTCCACTAGACCGAGGTGAGAAAACCGAGCTGGTAGGGGTGAGAAAGCCCCCACGTGGGTGCCACGCGCGGGAGGAGGAGTCTGCACTTCCAGAAGGGGGAAGGAGGACCCCGTTGAGCTAAACGCAGTAGGCTGGACCCTGAAGTCCCAGTTCCTCTAGGGGAGGTTGGGGAAACCCCAGCGTCCGGCCGCCTTGCCCTCCTCCCTTCCCTTTCCTTCTCGTGCCCCGGAGGGTGGAGGGGGGGAATCGCGCGACAAGCCTGGGGCGAGACGAGGCAGGTCTGGTCCCCGCCCTCCGGGCTGCGTCGCCTTAAGCTCTCCTCACCCGAGTTACGGGCCGGGCTGCCGCAGGGGGACTCGTCGGCACTCACGCGGAGACCTAGGCGTCTCGCGTGGCCCCGGAGACGTGGGGGAGGCCCCCCAGGTTTTACTTTCTCTTGGGCGTGGACTTGTGGGTCCTGGCCCATTCCTGTGCCAACTTGCAGCTCCAGCCACCAAATGACGCCTCCTTCCCAATCACATCTCAGTCTCTCCTTTTCCGTCCTTTCACCTTGGTTGTAAAGATTTCTTTAACACTGACATCTCCGATCCTCTTCCCCAAAGGCGCCTGTCTCCCTTCTTGCACGTGTCTGCCCATCCACCTCTTCCATCCCCGTTGGTTCTCTGTCCACGTTGGTTCTCTGTCCACGTATGGGTCTCCTGGTTTCTCCCTCTCTTCCCTTTTTCTCCTCTACATTCCCTTCCCGTTTCTTCTCTCTCTCCACCATTCTCCACCTGTCCCTCTGTGCAGCATGGTCCAACCCTACCACTCCCTCTTCTCTCTCTTCCTCCCTATCTGTCTCCCCCAGCCCTTCCTTGTCTCCCTCTGCCTTCCCTTGGGGTTTGCTTAAGTAAACCGCACTCTTTTACTCCAAGAATAGTGCTTACTGGGGGTGAGGCAGGGAGATTGGCGGGGATGTGGGTGGGAGGAAGGGGGCCACAGGAAAGGTTTCCCCTGTCCTTTCTCATCAGAATCTCCACATTTTCACCCCCCCCCCACTATAGGAGGCCCCAAAGGACTTGTGTGGTTGATCCAGGAGTGCATGGCCAGCCCCAGCATCCCCAACTCCAAACTTTTCCCAAACTAGAAAACACTCTAATTTTTCCTAACCCCTGCAGCCATTCCTACCTAGAATGAACCTTACCTTTAACCAGCTGGAGGAACCAATGCTAATAATGTTACATTAGTAGGGAGGCAGGATCAGTAAGGGTTAAGAGCACAGCCTTCAGAAACAGACTGTTGGAGTCTGAATTCTGATCTGCAGCTTGGGGCACATTACTTAATATCTTTGTGCCTCCATTTCTCTACCTAGTGAATGGATGTAATAATAGTATGAGATTATTGTGAGGTTTAGATGTCTTCATGTCTGTAAAGTGCTTTGAAAAGCATCTCACAAATAGCACTTTTTTCCCCCTTGCAAATAGCACGCTTTAAATATACTATTGAGTGGCCAATGTGTGCAGACTGTGCCACCTGCTTTACCTGCGTCATCTCAGTTATTTTACTGTAATCCTGGAATTGGTTCTTCTGGCTCAGAGAGGGGAATTCACTTGCCCAGGGTTACTCAGTGGTTTAGTTAGGAGAAATTGGGTGAGAACATAAGGAGCTTAATGTTATTGCTGTTTTTCAAAGAATAACAGGAAACTAAGGTTCAGAGGGAGGGTATGAACTGCCCAAGATTACACAGCTGAGAGGCTGCAGAAGGTCCCAAAGCCCTTGGCCCTTACTCTCCAATTTAACTTGCATTTGAAGCTCTGCCCTGGGGAGGCAAACAGAGTGGGCTCCCTTGGTGCCAGTCTAAGGCTGGGTGGCCACTTGATAGATAGATGATGCTTCACCAGAGAGAAGAGTGGTTAAGATTCACTTTACAGATGAGGAAACAGACCTTCCTGCAAGGAACATCACATAGCTAAAAAGCGTCAGATTCGCACCCCAGCCCAGAGCTGTCAGCTCTGGAACTCATGCTCTTAGACTTGGG